TGGTTGGATAAAAGCCCACCTGAATTATTTTACTGACCATTATATTTTGAATTAAGCCCTTATTTACACCCAGTCAATCTGCCTGGAATGCACAGATGTGGGCTCATTTGGTCCCTGAGCTAGATATGATAGCATTTTCTCATATCACAAAAATACAACAAACTACCAAGGAACAAAAAAGAAGCAGGAGCAAGAAAATAGAACTAGGCGCTTAGGCAAGACCTGTAGTCCAGGCTAAGAGGGGACATGAGGTAACAGAGGAAGGATACTTTGCAGTCACTTAGCAAAGTCAGGTCAGAGCACGGAGAGGGAAAAGGATGGAGAACTTGGTCAACAAGCATGAAGAACCAGATGTTTGGCTGCTTTAAATCACAGCTTTTTCTGACCCCAGGTCTAGTGTATACCTGTTTGGAATTGCAGAGCAGGCAGCACCGTCTCTGCACGCTCTCTTTGTGACTGTGATCAGAGCACGTGGTAATCACAGGGAAGACAAAAATAAAAAAATAAACCTTTAAAAGTAAACAACCCCCCTCCAAACCCCAGTTCTCTTTTCTAGCCACCCCCACAAAACAACAGCAGCAACAATAACAGAAAAGCTTTCTAGAGGCCCCTGGGATCTCTTACTGTGATACAGTTACAAGCCATCCAATCTGGAAATTCCAGTTAAGTGTAAAAATTACCCCCAGAATGACCATTTGATAAGAATAGCAATCATTGCACACGTGTCTTCTTGCTCTGCCCACTGGTATACATTTCAGTCAGATATGCAGCAAGTCTTCCACATTAAATTGTCTAAATAAGAATCAGGTAGTCTCAACATCCCTTCTTTATCCTTTTTAAGCCCAGATTTCCTCCTGTACAGTTATGCCCTCTTCCACTTCAGCAGCACAGGGCCCCTTCTCCCAGGTAGATGATATGCGGGCAAAACTGGTACCAACCCTGCCAACTTGCTGTGCTCCTCATCCCCTTCTCCCCGATGCATATTTACTATCCCCCCTTTGGACTTTGTCCCAGTTGCTGCCCTCTTGATTGGTGCTAATATTTGTCGGTTCTTGGACCTTGGTCATCCATCCAATTGTTTTTAATCCAATTGAGAATTTTGCCCTCAATATCTATGTCCCAGAGGGATTTGCAAGGAATGATTAAGCATAACAGATAGCTAGATGAGCTAAAGAACAAGCCAGGGCAGTCTGAGGGCTCAGAGCTGTCTGCAGTGTGCGAACACCATTGGCAGGATTCTGTCTTCCTTGTGCTGAAGGGGACTAATTTCCCTGAAACTGGTGGCCTGGCTCACTGAGAAAAGTCAGTGTGAAAATGGAAATCAGGGCCATAAGCCAGGGGGAAGGAATTGTTCAGGTTACAAGGGGTTTTATGGGGGATTAAAGGATGAAATTGTCATACGGAAAATGTGAGCAGAGTGTCATGGAGAGCTGTGAGACTGCAGAGGGGTGTCCTCTGAGAGGGCTGTAAGCCCTGTCATTTGAGTCAATTGAAATCAGGTGAGGCAAAACCTCTGAGCATCTACCATAAATAATGGCCCTTCATTTTCATCAGAGACTAGGACAAGACAGGGCTCTCCTGCCACTTGTTTCCAAGATGTTATTAAGCGAATGTGTCCTGATCCAGTGGACTGTGGCAACAGCCTTCCAGGATGTCCATCGGCCGGGAGCGTGTAGCTCCACACTGTCACCACCCATCACCGTTGTCTCAGAGAAGAGATTCAGATCTGCTGAGGGAACAAAACGTTGTCATGACTGGATTCGAGCCCGAGCTTCCTGCCAGACCCTTTGGATAGAGATGACAACCACACTTTTTTGTCTGAGAAGTGGGATGAGTCTGCTGAGAGGAAGTCAGGGTGTTTCTGGCCGGGACAAGGGTAGCACATGTGCTGGGAGGTCAGATGGACCAGTTCACTCCGAGGCAGCACAGCTGGAGCCATACACCGGCGGTGAGAAATCTGATCCCTTTTCTTCCCAGCCACCTTCTCGGGGAATACCACAGACTATTGCTTTGAAGTTAGAGTGAAACTATGACTGCACTTCTATACACAGGTTTTGCTAGTGAATGGTCATCTTCCTCAAATGACTTGTTCCTCTAGCAACATTTTGACAGGCTTAAGACACATTTATGCCCAAACCAATCCTATATGTCTGAAGGACTGTGGAGTTTAGGGTGTCTCAAAGACTGCTGTGCCCAACCTGGCATTTTCTGGAAACTGATATCAGAGTATAAAACGATGTAAAAATAGCAACCTGAGGACCAGCATAGCCATGAAACACAAGGACTTTCTTCCTTTTTGCTTTGAAGATAGGTGGGGGTTGCAGAGGAAGTGAAAGATGTCACTATTAGATGGGATGGGATGAAAACTGGAAGACTAGGAGTTGTAGGGATTTAACAAGACACCAACGTCAGAAACTGCCCCACTCTGTGCTAATTTGTTCTGGCTGCACCTCAAAATAAAATGATGAAATTGTTGAAAAACAAGGCAGTAGTATGAAATCTCTCTGGGATTTGACCAGCTGTGTATGAATGGAGATGTGACATATATCCTGAAACCTTTATTTGCCGTTCAGTGAGAAATTCTGAAACTTCATAAATAAACAAAAAAGCCCAAGCAAAATTGTCCTACATCAAAACCAACCCTCCAAGTATTGAAACCTGCTAGCAAAAAAGGAATTCTAAGGCTTTGATTTTTCAAGATGAAGTTGATGAAGTTTGTTGAGCAGCTCTGCTTCTCACATCTTTGGTCCAAACCAGGGCTTCTAGAGGACTTGACAATCGTGAAGCAGAACTTCCAGATTCTAGGCAGGCATCATGATGTGTAGGAACCCTGACCATGGAATTATCACACAGACATGTGGAGTGGACAGAAAGGAAGCAATAATCCTGGAAAGCTGCTTGGTTTCTATTAAAAGATGTGAAATTCAAACACTCCATATCCCGACCAAGAAAAAATTGTCACGTTATGATCGTCCCAGAATCCCCCTCTATGCTACACAAATATTCCAGCAGGATAAGCTGTCCCAATGCAGGCGCTGGCTTGCAGCCCTCGTCTACTTGCACAGAGTCATGCTTCCTTAGCTTTGGATGTTTACAATGCCAGTGTTTGTATTCAAGCTAATCATTGCATCGGGACAATTCACACCTGGAAACTGCACTAATGCATGGACTTCATCTAACCTAGAAACCTTAGTGAGTGATCACCTTTTTTTCTTTAAAGTGAGCCCAGGGACCTTAATTCAGGTGTGTGTGGCTACAGTGCAGTCACCTGAAGATGCATGAGGTAAACACCATAGCTAATTCCTGTCAATTTTAACCAGTTAGGTGCTTAAACCCCGTTGTTGGAGCTGAAGTTTAGTCCTGTATCTGACTGGACTGTCCTTCAGATGACAGATAAGATGACAGGGATGAAGAGGGTATGTAATAAAGATCCCAGCAGGTGTGGAAAATAGGTCTTGTGTAAGACCTATAGAAGAAAGGTCACAGTATACCAGACTTCTGCTGCATAGCTGTGGCCTGGAGAAATGAAACCCATATAGGGTAGGATTTATCTTTTCCTCTGCAACAATCAGCTACTCCCTAGCTTACAGGCTTCCCAGACCTGAAGTACATGGAAAGTTGGTACCAGCCAGACAACAAGAAAGCTATTGACTCAGTGTGATCCACTATGTAACTAACAATTAGTGTCTAAAAGAAGGCTGAAGACATGACAACTACAGTCTGGCCAGAGGCATTTCTTAAGTAAGCAACCTATTCAGAGTCATTAACCTACCTGCACTCCCATGTGCACAGGACAGTATCCCCAGCAAGCCTCTGGGTCGTGATTTGCTTTGCTTTGGGACTTTGTCATGAATAGCCACCCTTACAAGTGTTATGTCTGGGAGGAAGACCACATTTTAATGGCTTTTCTCAGTAGTTTCCCCTGTCAGTGTGCAATATATGCTGTGGCTTCAAGACAGAAGCTGGTGCAACCCTTTATACAGTGCTTTCCAGCAGTGCTTCCTGTGAAAATCAGTGGAAGCAGGATTGGATCCTGAAAAAGCAGGGGGAAAAAAAGCACTGTATGTCAGAAGGAAATGAATATTATGTAAATAATAAGGCATACAGACATTTTGTAAGTGGGCAGGCCGATCTCATTATTGATGTACAATTAAACCAAACTGTGGGGTCATACCATCTTATTATGTCTAGCAAATTAAACTCAGACTGTCTCTTTTTGTTATTGTTTCTTATGGAGTTTTGGAGCTTTCTTAATTCAGGTCAAAAAAAGAGAGGCTTCCTCATAAGCATTTTAATTAACCAGCTGAAGAATTCTCTTGCCCCCAGAGACTCATGGTACCAAATCCAGAGCTCAGCACTGCTACTCCTCTCAGACTGCCATATTTTAGCTCAAATTGTATTCGTGTCCCTTTATTCAAGTCAAAACACAGACAGCAAATCAAACCCACCTCCCTCACTCATTGACTATTTGGAAAAAAGTATATTGAAAATTTGATTTTTGACCTAAACACGTTCTTTGTACCCCGCAGTGCACAAGGACCAGAAAGGATGAGGGAAGCGACCTAAACCTGTAGAGGAAAGCCCTTCTGGCTGGACCCTGGGCCTATGCACACCTCTTCGCAGACATCTTGGCTGCCCCAAGCCACCAGCACAATAGGGTCATCCAGTGTTGTCTCAGGGCCGAGTAAAATCCCCCATTCCTTTTGCAGGGCTGCTCGGTGCATCGTTCCCCCCAGGGAGAGACTCTCAGCTGAGCGGCTGGGTCTCTACAGAGCATGGCTGCTCCCCGGGGAGCTCCTTCCCGGTCCATGGTGGCTCTCGCCCACGTTCGCTAGGCTGCGGTGACTTGTGGTGGCAACTCCCGCCGCCGGCTGACCCTGCACCACAGGCCACCCACTGTCCCGGCAGGCTTGTTTGTGGAAAGGACCCCGCACACCCCCAGAATGGTCATGGGTGAGAAAAGCAGGCCCCCAAAGTCACCCACTCCCCCGTATCCTTCTCTATGTGGAACTGGCGCAGATACTGCTCCTTTCCAACTTGTGGGGTAGCGGCATGCCGTAAGGGGGGAGGACATTGACGAGCAAGTGCGTTTTTGGGAAGGGCAGCAGCTCCAGGCGGTGGGGGACGAAGGAGAGCGTGCTGGGCAGCCAGGCAGTTGTCAGCTGCCCTTGTAGCGGTGAGTAGTATCCCACAGCAGGGATGGTAGCAGCGAGCTTTCTTGGCATCAAGCTAGGAGCCTTTCAAGAATAAAAATGCAGTCTCAGGTGAATCAATACAGACTTAGTTAGATATAATTTGCGATCAACCTAATTTGTTTCCCTGGTGCTCAGTAATTAAGAAGAAAAGCTTAGAAGAATAGACTCCCTAAAACCCAGTGGTGTGCTGTCACCCAGGGAGCAAGGCAAAATGCCCTTTGTTCTAGCTGTGGAAAAACTCCTGACAGGGAAAGAACCTGTGTGCCAACCTTGATAATATTAACTGTCCTGGACTTGGCAAGGACGTGGGTCAAGGGCAAAAAGCACTGGTCAGCCTAACAAGGCTAGGCATTGTAAAGAGAAACCGTCTATAAAGAAACATGGCTTTGTGGCTGCAAATGTCGTATTTCTTCCTGTTCAGAAAATTTCTGATGGTAAAGATACTTTGAGTCAAAATATGATTTACAGGGAAGTGATTTAGAAGTAAAATGGGGAAGGATCATCCTGCAAGAGACACTTCATGGCATATTTACAAAACAGGTTTAATTTAATGAAAAAATGTGTTATTTGTCCATATTTTCTGGGATTTCTTTTCATCATATTGCCATTTTTGTCTTGTCCAGTCCTCCTTATCTGGGATAGTCCCATGTGAAGAGGTGACCTGGTGAAAGACAGCTATCTCTCCCTCAGTGGCTTTATACATAGTCTCTGATACTCACTGTAATATCTGACTTGGGAGCAGGAATGAAATCAACTTCTGTCAGATGCTGAAGGCCACCAAAGTTGCCAAATTTTTCATGTTTCCTCCACTTTGCTCGCTGATTCTGGAACCAGATCTGGATACAGGCAAAAAAGAAAAGGCACAGAAATGAACAGAAGATGAAGGAGGAACTGCTCACATCCAACTACTTTCCCTTCTCTTGAAGTGAGCATCAGAAAACATTGACCTCCAGCTCAGCAGAACCTAAAATCTAAATTCAGAACCTGAATCTAAATGAAAACACTGGGTTCGACACAGCACCTTTCACACTTTGCATAGCATGTGGGATCTCTGGACTATCGTGATAGCCTCTTTTCTCTCTCAGCTCACAGAAGAGCTAGGATCTCCCTGTTCAAGGAAAGACAGTGCCACAAGGTGCAGCAGGTCTCCCAGGGCTTTCCTGGGAAGTCAGATCCTTTTGCGGTCAAAGCTTTGCAGCAGTCAAGGCACACGGCATTCTGTTTTCCCTAGGAGGTATGATTTGTTGCATGACACATTTTGCATGACATTTGTTGCTCCTTCACCCTGTTTCCAAGTGAATAGAATGGGAAAAGGCCCACCTAGATGTTTTGCTGGGCTGCAATAAAAATGTGCCACCAGTGGAGATGTAGTAACAGGGTTCTTCCCACATTTAGTGGGTAACATTTTGAAATTCATATAAGGGACCTCAGAAAAAGACCCAAGGGGATGAAAGCTTCTAAATCACTCAGCAGCCTGTGTATGTTATCTACTATCCCTTCCACACTGGAAAAAAGACAACTAATTTTCTCAGGAGAATTTCTTCCATCTATCAGGTGATTTGGCCAATCTGGCTTCTGGCTGAGGCACACAAGTATTTATTGTGCAGCCACAGTAGTGTATCTTGCTGCAATGTTGTGAAAAGTTGAATCCCCCTTCCATTGTAGTTTCTAACTGGCTTAGGAACTTGCTGTTTGAATGTAAGCAAGAGGTTCACATGAACACAAGGTGTTGATGCTACTGGATGTAAATATGTATGTATTTTAAACCAAATAATGAACAGCTTAATTATTTCTGCATCTCTTGCCCAGGAACTATTGGGAATATCAGGAGCCCTCTGCTATATCGCTCATAGTTAGCAGTATCTGAGGTTACTGAAAGGACAGTTTCATTTATCTGGGTTTGCATGGGTTTGAGAACTGCTTAGTCTGTATGAACTGATCCATTCCCTTTCCACCATGCAGGACTTGTATGGTGAAACAGCACCATAAAAGTCACTCCTCTTTAACACTGACAAAATGATTAAGGGCAGAGAGGAAACTGAAGCCAAAATTCAACCTCTGAAGTGCTCCTTCCAAAGTCTGCACATGGGATAAAGTCCTCCCTTCAGGGATTATATATATATATTTTTTTTTTAATAAAGGGAAAGCTGTGTTCACAGACTGAACTGCTCTTTTTTTGCTCAATCAGCTCTCCAACACCTTTACCCCTAAAATGATTTCTCAGTGCCCACCCTGAATTTCTTTTACTGGGATTTAAGTCTCTTCATCCATGCTCTGTCTACCACAGATATCAAGCTACTGATATAATTTATTCTCTGCACGCTACTAACCTTCATTTTTCCAGTGTTCCTGAGCTACGGTACTGAGACAGACACAGTGTTCCCATGTCTGTTTACGAAAGTCACACCGGTGCTAAAGCCAGTGATGAGTGCCTCCTTAATCCTGCCTGAGATTTCACAAATGACTCATTTGCCCTCTCAGTGGTCAGCAAGCTTTCCAATGAAACAAGGGCTAAAACAGAGGCCAGAGGGAGGGTGATGTGCCACATATTGTAGGAATGGCCTCCATCTGTAGCTCTGTAAGATTGCCTGTCGTACTCTTGCAGACACATGACCAATGATCCAGAGCTTGCTGTACTAAAGAATCAGCCTTTTCATTATTTTCCACTCCCCTAACCTTCTTACCATTTCATAGCATTATCATTAAAGATTCTACTGATTGTGTAGTTCAAATTCACCTTCGTGTCAGTAAATGGTTCCAACGAGAAACTGCCTTTGAAATGTCCTCATTTGCAAGTGGACACCTGTTGCAGACCTAGGTTTTTGTCTGCTTGCACATGCCATTTGATCTGCTCTGTTTTCTTAATCCAAGCAGGGTGTAGGACCAAGGCAAGGTCCTTGCAGTGACATGCCATCAATATTATTACCTTTATCAACCAAATGAATCATAAAACCATAGAACAACAGAACCATAGATTGGTTTGGGTTGGAAGGGACCTTTTAAAGATGATCTAATCCAACTTTCCTGCTGTGGGAAGGGACACCTTTCACTAGATCAGCTTGCTCAAAACCCTGTCCAACCTGACTTTGAACACTTCCAGTGACGGGACATCCACAACTTCTCTGGGTAAGCTGCTCCAGTGTCTTGCCACCTTCATCGTAAAGAACTTCTTCCTTAAATCCAATCTAAATCTACCCTCTTTCAGTTTAAAATTGTCACCAATAAACTCATCATAAAAAGATGAGAGTGACAACATCTATTTTCCATAAACTAGTGTTGATAAGCATTAAATATATTACCCTTTCTTTAATTCTTCATTAACAGAAACTCATATCATCTTTATCACTGTTTTGCCAACATGTTTGGCTGACAGGCCAGTCATTATCTGATTGTCCTGTTTACCCTTTAAATACTGACACAACATTAGATTTCTTCAAGGCCCCTGGAATGTTTCTTGTGCTCCAGGACTGATTAAATACCTACACTGATGACCCAAAGTGCTTCTCAAGCAGCTTTTTAAGAACTCCTGGAGGTAAGTCACCTAGAATTCTGGATTTAAAAATATCTGTCTGCAGCAGCAGCTGTTCAACATTGTCTTTATGGAAGGTGTTTCATCATCATTGTGTGACACTACCACCTTACCTGACATTGCCAAGGATAGAGCAGAAATTATGACCGAACATCTTTGCCATTTCTGCATTATCCTTGACAGTCCCACTGTTTCTATAAAGTAACAGATCAATATAATTGTTCACTTTTTTTGTTTGTTTGTTCTTAATGGACTTTTATTGAGTTTCTGATGATCCTTAATTTTTCTGACCAAAGTTTTGGCCTGTATCCATTTGCTTTGCTTATCCATTTTTTATAATTTATGGTTTCTAATGTTTACTCACCCAGCACTCTTCATTTTGCATTGCATGTAAGCATGCACATGTGCAGGGATATAATTCATCTATCCACTTAGACTGCTTCACAGAAATCGTACCTTTGTTTCTTGTTTGGAGGACACAAGTTTTTCACAGTTACGAAATGTTTCATTTGGTTACACAATTGTTGCTCACTTTTTTTTTTTTTTCCCAGTTAAATTATCCCTCTGAGGTGATTTGACTTATACTGCTTTTAGCTTTGTCAAAACTATTATTTCAAAGTACCAAAAGTATATATGAATTCTCCGCACTCTGTTTATGTGACAAATGCAATCAATCAAAATTACAAAAACTTGTAACTTGTACCTACGTTACTGATAATTTTTAGTTTTGTGCCCAGTTTACCTTTATCAGCCAAGATGAGATCAAATGCAGAATTTCCTGTGTCATGTGTAACTCTCTCTGAATTGGGAATTTGCCATATGCAATATATACACAAGGGGCTTTTTACTTCCTTTGTGTATATCTCAGGTTGATGTTTCCCATGATAACTCTTCTTTATTTTTACCCCTACAGACTATAAATATTTTTTTTAATATCAGATCATCCCATTCTTTCATGTGATTTGTTGTTCTGTTGGGAACACTGACTAGTATCCCAGCTTGTGCTTTCTACCATTGGAAATGCATTGTGAGTGCACTGATGTCGCTAATGGGCATATTATGGCTGTGCTGTTCCAATTCTCCCTGTCACCTATGAAGCAGTATCATCATGGCTAGTCGATAGTCCCGGGCATGTCATAGTCAATAAACTGCTCTGTGTTGAACTTTGATTGTTAGAGTGGGATATGTGCATAGAAGTACACTGAGGACTCTAGCATTATAGCAAGTACAGAAAGTGCCTTGTGAAAAAATCATCACAACAGCGTCTGGTAAACAACACCAAATTCCAATACACAGTGGTATGTATATTTTAATGTAGCAGATTTCATATGCAGCAAACATTTGGGGTCAATTTTGAGCTCAGTCAGCGAGACTACATTACAGCTGGGGGAAACTGGATTGGTTTCCATGCACTGAAATTACATCCAGAGCATTTATAGCCTGTGATATCAAAATACAGAAAGCATTTTCATTTGGGCAGTTACTTTCACTTTTTTTGAGACCCTGTAGAAGACGGATGTGGATGACAGTTTGTACTGGATGTACACTAGTCTATAAAAGGTTGATAAAAGATTAATAAATATTTTAATAAATGGCCGCTCTGTTGCTACAGAGTCCAACAGGTTGCTCATAACCATCTGTAACTCCTATTTGTTATGCATCTAGTATGCTTAGATCTCCTGTTAACTCTTTGATTAATCCTATTTGGCTAGTCCCAGCTGGGTGACAAATACTTTTTTCTTTATTTGTAAAAGGAGAAGAGTGATACTGGCCTCCTCTGTAAGGTAACAGAGAGGTCACATATTTCATTAGCATTGTCACCCAGTCATAAACTATTAGGAATGTACTCTGAATAAAGAATTGGTGCAGTGAGCATAGCCTTTTGGAGACACAATGTACCTGAACTCTGGCTTCTGGGAGGTTTATCTTTGCTGCCAGTTGATTGCGAATATGGACATCCGGGTAGTGAGTGATTTGGAAAATCTTCTCCAGCTCCTGCAGCTGCTCAGCTGTGAACGTTGTCCGGATTCTCCGTTTCCCTTTCCTCTCAACTGTGCAAACAAGGAAAGGTGTATCGCATTTTATAGGAAAAGGCCACAGGGCCACAAGAAAATTCATATATCCAGCAATTTCTGGAGTAAAGTACAGTAAATTGTTATGCAGCTAGGATGGCACCTCCAACACCTTCTAGAGATGTACTTACCATAGGTGACTATCTCCTGACCCAGCAGTGAATATGAATGAACTCTTTTATTGTTCAAGCAGCGAGTCAAAAGTGACCATTCGCAGTGCTAATTCCATGGATCCACTGCATGTCAACAGCTACAAAGAACCTATATATTTTAACCATGCCAGCCCTGCAGTGGGTTTGTCATCAAAGTCCTTTCGTGTTGGAACAACCTTTGACCCCTTTTTGCTCCTTGTCTGTCACATGCACACATCTGTTGCTAATTTATAATCCCTTATTAGCTACTTGTGAAGAAATCCTTAAAGTAAGTGGAATGAAAGAGTAGATACTCCGTTTTGCCTTGGTGCTGTTCTCATGCTGTAACGAATCACCATCTTCCTTTCAGCTCATAAATTTTACATCCCTATCTTTTCCTGTCATACTGGTCTTACTAATCTTTCCTCAAGCTCTCAGGTATTTTTTTATTCCATTGTCACTCTACCAATTTTGATGAATTTCTGCTCCTGTATGCCATCAAGATCAAAGAGTACCCAAAATGCATGAATGCTGTGGATGGAAGTCAGCTATTCCAGACTGACTGACTGCTGCTCTCTTCCCATACCATTCCTTTGGCAGTATTTAGGGATAGCCATCAGTTTTACTGCAGTGTGACAGTGGCATAGAAAATGTTACCTTACAAGGAAAAGTCATGGTATTCTCTTGATGTCACCATTGTGGTGTGGGGACTTTATAAACAAGCTTAACCTTAAGAACTACAAGGCCTTAAAACCCATGGAGCAGCATATGGGTAACTCTGGGTGCTGCAAATTCCGAAGGGGACTCTTAGAGTGCCCCATTCCTTCACCTGATGTGGTGTGACCACACTAAAGACTTCCCTCGGTGCTCCTACACTGTTTTGAAAATGACTTCCTACACCAGGGTATTTTATTCAGATCTTGAACTCTGTGCTGCTTGGTGTAGATTAGAATAAGGTCTAGGTTGCTCTGAAATGATGCTGAAGGGATGATGTCTTGCAAGGAGGAGGAGAGAGGAGCAGCAGAAGTGAGGTCTAAGGCAACTGATCTGCAGAATGTGGAGTTCAGCCTCGTCGCAGGGCTTGAATCCTCCCTGCTGCACAGATGGAATATCTTCCAGTTGACATTGAATGACCAGCACAGAAAGCCATGTCCCAGGCATTGTGAGGCACAGGGATTTTTCTACTGAGCTTGGAAAACTGCAGCCTGATAAGAACATAAAAATTCTAATATCACTAGTGACTCTGATGAGTTTGCTACTCAGTGATCTGAAGTAATTGGCAATGACACCATGTTGCTTAAGAAAATGAAAAATGACCTTTTTGAATAACTGCTTTTGGTCTTCCATGGTCTGATGACAACTACCAGTTCATACAATTCATACTATGTAACTAGATACACACACTTCCTAATGGGAATAGTTAACCAGGGAAGGATAGCTTAGTCCCTCAAAGAATCTTTATACTTTTTTTTTTTTTTTTTCCCTTTTGTACAACCATTAGCATAAACTTTTCCTTTTGGGGGCTAAAGCAGTGAAAAAGGTAACTAAATGCCTTGTCCAATATAAACTGGGCTCCGTGCCAATTAGAAAATAACTTTTCATTCTGTAATCAAAACTTCATTGTAACTCTCTTGACACGGAAAATAAGGAATAAAAAATTCTGTCCATTGACTTAGTAGGAAGGTGACTAGGACATGATACCTGGGGACCAGTAAGTGAATATATTCCATTGTAAATATTTAATCTTTTCTAAACCTTTCAGGTATTTTGAAAGGAAACCGGTCATGCAAGAATAACTGAGGAACATCATTTATCATAAACACTGTCAATACTCCTGTATCTCAGAAACAGCCTAATAAAGCTGATGTCCAACACAGTTAAATCCATATTATTAGACTTTTCACTGGCCTATTGAAGTACTACCACTCATTAGACTGCAGTGCTGGCTTCAGCCCCTAGAGAAAAATGTTATTTACATTGAATCTTGCTGGCACTACTGGGGCAGAGATCTGAAATGAGAAATATTTTTGTGCATTTATGCTGAAGATAGCAATGGGCACCCTCTCCTAAGAAACCCTGATTACAAAGTTGCATCTACTGGAACCTTCACAAAAGTTATCTGTAAGGGGGATTTATTGCTATATGTATTAAAAGAGAAATATCAGTGCTGAGAATATGAATCTCAGGACATTACATCCTCTGTAGATATGATAGAGCTAACAGTTTATGCTGGTGTCTTTTGTCTGGAAGATTTTCACCTCACAGTCTGTGGGGACTGGCCTCCATATCCTCCTGGGAGATACTGCAGACAGGTAAGATTGAGTATCAAGCTGATATTTTGTCAAGAACATCATGTTCTGTCACACAGTAATGAATGTCTCTGCTGTATTTGTATCATTACAATGTATGGTATTTATATTTCTCTAGCACATGGCAATTAATATAGCAGATCTTGACAACAAGTGAAGTTTGCCTTGACCTTGTTATGGTCTCAGGAATTTGAGGCCTTCCTGAGATGTCCTGTACGTCTCCTTGAACAATGACCTAAGCTCCTGCCCCTGTCCAGGGTAGAAGGCTGGTTCCACAAACCTGGGAGAAGCTGCAGTCTACCTCCAGCACTTTCAGAGTGGAGCAAGAGATCCAAGCTCAAACTGCGACCACCTCCTTGTTCCTGTGGTCCCAACTGTACATAAACAACTGGGATGCTGGCAGGGTTCTTGTCCTGCCAGGTTTTGTATGCCCAGGCAGTCTATGTACCTTCTAGCAATCAGAAAACCTTCAGGAGTAAGAGGACAGACCTTCCTACCTCCTGGAAGATTTCTGAATTAGCAAAAAATCCCAGTGTACTTTTTAAAAAAAGAAAGTATTAGATTAATGAACTGAAATATAATTTCATGACTATACAAAGCAAGAAAGAAACTGTCTAAATTTTAAAACCAAAATGTCACACCAAATAATAAAAATAAGGGTGTTCTTTAGTATTCTCTCAGAATAGAGCAAATAATGATTTAGTCCAGTATATACCCTTCTGTCTCATACATTAACCAGACTGCAGAATTGGGATGACTGGATGGGATCATGATGGGATTGAAGTGAATGCCAAAGACCAGCTGGATCACAGTGGGCATCATACAAACACACAGTCATTAGTTACTGCCTGTAAGCACATATGATGACAGCTATCATCTCCTCTTTGTAATGGGGAATCAAAGATAAGTCAAGAATTTTAGTGCCCAAACCAGAGAATACTGCCTGAGCTAGAAAGATATGGTTTACATTATCAGACCATGCTAGTTGCAGGACTTCCTCATAGACAGTAGTTCATACACACCAGAGACAGAGATGATAATGTGGGTATCTATCCCTGGTTACCATCTTAAAAATTTGTGGGTGCTGGCAGGACACTTGGTACAGAGTTCATTGGATTGATCAACCTCGATAGACTCACAAAATCAGCTGTTACAAGCAATGCAATACCAGCTCTACAGGGTTGAGATATGGAACAAACTCAGTAGTGGAGAATATAAGTCTAGAAGGAGCTGCAAAGTCTACCCTACAAAGAAGATATGAGAATAAAGAGACACACACAGCTGTGCATACCTGGTGTAAGTTTGGGAAGAAACTTTTAGTTGAGCTGGGATGTCGTATGGTGCCTGAGAGCCAGATCCATTGCCTTGAACCACACAGTCTTTTGAACTGTGCTGGAGATGGAATGCAGAATGGATATGTCAGATATCTTGTACTGTATTCTCTCCCACTGGCAGCTAAGAAGTGTCCAGGACTAGAGAGCATGGCTTCAGAGAGAATAGGCTCATGAGTTGCTGGTGTCTCATATCAGCTTCTTTGGTATGAAAATGACTCAGATAACTTGGTGATGAGCAAAAGAAACTCCCTACCAGTTCACTCGTGCCTCCTCCACATTTTTCTTTCTTGAAAGATGAACTGTTTTACAGATGAGACTCTTACATAAGGGAAGGGTCTACACAGTGCTCAGAAGTGTCAATCCTACTGAAACCATATTTTTCAAAGCTGAAACTCATCATATTAAACAAATACAATAGCATGAGGTCAGCTATTGGCCAGTAGAGACTGAAGGACAAGCTTTGATTTCAAATGGAAATGAAATTAAATTGCTAACAAAATGGACTCCTGCGAACTAATCAAGGCTTTTGCCAGTAGTAAATCTAGAAGAGTGCATTTTTTTCTTTAAGTAATCAGTCATTCTATTTTTTTTTTTTTTTAAAAAAAACCCAACTATTAAAAAATATAAAAAATCTGGGACTCCATGTTAACATTTTCTCTTGCAAGATGAAACGTTCTCTGACTGTAGCTTTGATACTTCCTTTTGCCTTGGGACCTTAGCTTAGAGATCCCACAGCAAACAACAGCATTCAGAATTACAGTCTAATAAAGAATGTGGGTGGAAGATATAAGACTAGAAAGTGTTGGAAGTGTAACATTGGCTTTACAAACGTGGCTCTAGAGTCTCTGGGGAAATAAGACTCTGTCTAAGTTTCCTGAGCTATTTTCTATGTAAAAGCTGAGGATATTCAAGTGTGCTTTCATGCTCTGTGAAAGTCATTTGCAGGTTAGCTGACTGCTGAAACCAAGCCTGAAAATACCAGGTAGCTAAATATGTCAGCCTCTGAAGATGCTTAGAGATACAGCTGTCTATACATTGCCTTACTTTTGACATTGGAAGGGCCAGATTCTCCACATTGATAAAGCGGTATAGCTCCTTTAAGTTCAGTAACAGGGTCCATTTGTCCTCTGCAGAACTGGCTTTATTACTAGGTCAGACTTGGGGTAAGTTGAAACATCTGAACTTTGTAGAAATACAGATTTTTC